AAATAAACATTCCTCCTCAACCTAATACGCTAAGCGTCAAGAATAAATACAAAGACGAAGGTCCCTGATCACAGTTAGCAAGAATATAATAGACAAACTCAGAATAAAAAATATCATATCACAAATAGGATAACATCCAAGACAAAATATTCGGGTCAACATGCCCTTATACAAAATCTAAACAAATGAATACTGGAGAATATAAAATACAATGATCAAACGGAAAAGAAAATGCTACAAAAGAAACTAGGATCATCAACTAAGAAGAGGTAGCTGAACTTCGGCCTATTCTTCAACTCTATCTGCAAGACACTTCTACTAAGAATCCTCTAGCTCTGGTTTGTCTATGAGCTGGACATGTTTTTCCTCTAAGTCTGACGTACACTAAAGAAAATAGGTGTACGTCAGCGTGCATGGTACACGGCAAGACCCCACAAAAGAAAAGAACGAACAAAAACCCAAAGCGAAAAATGATACAACAACAGAAATGACAAGAACATGCAACTGGAAATCCAACAAAATCAATCAAGTAACAAGTCGATCATGCATCTAGCGATCAGAAATCATTCAAGTAACAAGGTCATACAACTAGATGAAGTTAATACTTAAAAATCTACAACAAGAGACGTAGTACGTCGAGTGAAATAATCCAAACAAGGAAACTCTTATGTATATACCATATGCCTCAAATTGTAGATAATTAAATACTAATCTCGATCTATGTATGAAAAGAAAATACAACTGACCTACATCTCACAAGAATCTATAATCACCTTAAGAAACAAGGTCATGTAACTAGTCATTCTATAACAGGTCACTGATCCACATCTCACACAGAGTCAACGCTCATATCATCGGATAACTGATTGTTCACAAATCTCCTATGTGCATCCAATAACGATACACAAAGTCGGTCAGAGGACTACACACAATCCGTTTTTAGCCTGGTCCAGACTCAAGCTAAACTCGTGTGAATATCAAATTCACGGACTAAAGTAGCGATACCGATCTACTTTGACCCAACAAACCAACCCCAGTGACGACATCGATCCATTGGTGCGAGCCTGTAAGATATATCAACTACCTTATCTGATTACATAAACAAATACTTTCCCATTCTAACTCTTCTCGTTTTTTCTAAGTCAAACATAATCCTCATCATCTCTCTGGTTCACCACCTAAATTCAGTCAACATACCCACACATGTCACTAGGTCTGTTCATGACGCACAAGGCCACTAAGTCATGAACTACTAAGGTTCTCAATCACAGCATGAAACAACAAGTAATTAAGACTAATACAATAAAATAAAGATTATAAAACGTGATTATAAACTACGAATAATACATTATGCATGAACAATATAAGAGGGATCACAATTAGTAGTTATTATACACATGAAATGTCAGCATTACTCCCAATAAAATCCTACGACTTGTCGGGCTGGGTCTCACCGCCCTTCACTTACGGCGTCGACTCGAAGATCGATCGTCGCACTCCGTCTTTCATGTCAACTCACGCGTGTCGACACGTCAGGTCGGGTCGACTCAGGCACTGTCCAAACGATATTCTTTCCTAAACATGTTATTCTTTTTCTATTCTTTCTTTTCTCTGATCATATTTTATGTTATTAGTTCTAGTAATCAAATAATTTCACATATATCCCAGTAAATAATCAAAACAATTCATCATAGATATAAATATTAAGTTGACGAGGTGAAGAGCAAGAGGAATCTTGCCTCGGGGTTCGTCGAACGAATCGACGCAGCAGTTTGAGTCCGTGGTGAGGCGGCAATGACAAGTGAGCTGCAAGGAGGTGTTCGGCGATGGCGCAAGTGGAGACGTGGTTGAACAGCGGCGATGGATATTGAACGACTCAAGGCGGAGGTCAGCGACTGTCGGATTTGGGGGCTGTTGGCGTGGCTTTGAAGGCCAGCGGCGACTCGGGTCTGATGACGTTGGGTCTGGGGCATGCGGGTCTGTACAGGCGAACATGGAGGGGGTGGTGGTTGAGGGGGTCCACTGAGGGTGGTGAAGCGCGGGCGAGGGGGTGTCGGGTAGGCGGTGGTTGGGAGTTATTCGGCGAGGCGTCATGTGTTTTGGCGACGCGCGCAGCAGTAGGAGAGGAGGGCTGCAGCAGCTGATTGGGGGGAGAGCGGTAGGCGAGGAGGGGTTGAGCAGCGGTTAGGGATCTGGCTTGAAGCGGCTGGGCGGTGCGGTTGGCGGCGTTCCTGGCGGTGGAAGAGTGAGGCTTGAGGCGGAGGGGTTGAAGGAGAGCAATGGAGAAGGAGGTGGTGTTGGCTGTTGGGTTTGGGCTTCGGGGGGTGAAGGAGGGAGCTTGACAGCACGGGTGGTGCACGGACGGCGAGGAGGGGCGATCGAGCTTGGTGGCTGAGCTTGGCGGAGGCGGGTGCTGTGGAGGGCTGGCGAGCGGGGAGGGTGAAGGGACGTTGGAGCTAAGGGAAGAGGAGGCGTTGGTTGGGGTTCAGGCATCGGGAGGTCAGCGTGATGGCAAGGTAGTCGGCGCTGACGGAGGAGGAAGCGGACGGAGGACATGGGCGGTGGAGTTCGGCGACCTGGGCCGGGTTGGGAGGGAGGCTCGTAGCTGCAAGCTGTGTCGGTTGGGCAGGAGAAGGAGGCGGCGAAGGGGGTTGGGACGGTGCGTCGGTGATGGACGGCGGCGTCAAGGGAGCGAGGTTGGGGAATCTGGCGGCGGGTTAGGGAAGAAAGACAGAAGAGAGAAGAATAACGATATATCTATCTATCTAATCTATCTATCTATCTATCTATCTATCTATCTATCTATCTAATATATATATATATATATATAATATATATATATATATTATATATATATATATATATATATATTATACTATATATAATATATAAAGTATATATATATAGACCAGCCACACACACACACACATACATACATAACATAGGATTTTAGGGGTTTTGAAAATTAATTAATAATAATAATAATCACGAAAAAATTTAAATAATTATGTGAAAATTAACTACACATCAAAACGTACCAGTTGTAGTAATACAATCGATAATACGCAAGAGTAGAAATAATACAAGAAATTATACAATTAACAAAGAATAATTAATAAAAAATATAATTACTTATATTAATTAAAATCAAATAATTATGGGATAATTATCCACACAGTAAAACGTACAAGTTATACTAATACGACAGATAATATATAACAGAAGAAATAATACAATAAATTATATAAATAATATGTAATTAATAATACAACATAATACATGAAATAATACGTAATAATAATAATAATATAACATATTATTTAAAAAAATACGTAATAGTATCAAAAATACAACAGATTAATTCCAGAAATTTTTACCGCACGAAATTAATTTATAAATATTAAAATCATTTAAATAAATATAAAACTTGGATTTTAAATCATAGAAAATTGTAGAAAATCAAGAAAAATACAAATACTCTTTTAAAAATAATAATTAAATATTTTAAAAAACCTAAAAAACATTTTAACTAGTATTAAAAATCCATGGTCCTTACAGTTCGGGAGAGCTTATTGATGGTGGTTTCGTCTCCAAGTGGGAGATTGTTGGTTTTGAAAATGTGAAGACCGAAACCTGAAATGAAATCAACAATAAAGCTGAAAAATCCAGCTCTGATCGACCGACAGACTTGGACCGATCGACCGAAACGCTTGTAGGAAAATAGCCCAGGAAACATGCTCCGGCCTGTCGACCGAAGCTTGCTGACGGTCGATCGAGAGTGGTCAACCGATCGACC